TTCCCGTCCCGTCCTCTCCTCTCCTCTCCTCTCCTCTCCTCTCCTCTCCTCTCCCCTCCCCTCCCCTCTGGGGTTCACTCATCTCTCGCTTTTCTGGCACTGCGAGGAGGCACTGGGCCACGACTTGCTGCTGTCGTGAACGGGCCCTCTTTTATTGGGATGTGGAAAGCCTGGTTCAAAGGGAACCGCTGAGGCCTGTGGGGGTCAGGGAGCTTGTGTGGGAGCAGAGCCAGCTGTGCCATCGCCCCAGCCCCGGGCAGGCTCTGCTTGGGGGCATGGGCCCTTCATGAAAGAGGTGGGGACCGGTGCTGATGAATCCGCTCTCCTCCAGCCTTGGGAGAACGAGGGAGTGCTGAGCACACCTACAGCCAGGCAGCCGTGAGATGGGCGGCAGGTTGTTCCCAGGGCCTTTGCTACGTGATTGCTTTTGCTCTCCGGCAAGCTCCCACACGCTTTGCGAGGCTCTAAAGACTTCAGAGCCAGACTGCTTGGCAAAGCTGTTGCTCACCTCTGCAGGTGTGGGCAATTCTGCAAGAGGCGCTCTCACCTCCGGGGTAGAAGGAGCAGCATATGCTGCAAACCATGTTGGAGACATCACCCCCCTCCCCATCCACCCATTTTTTCCTCAAGTCCCAGCATAGCGTTATCTAAACCCAGCCCTGCTCTGCACCCGGTGCCCACATTTCATCAGGAAGGCTGCGGGGTCCCACAGGGCACGGGACAGACTGGTGTCAGAAAAGTCTTGTCACTGTGTCTTGCTGCCTGGACATCCTTCTCCAGCAGGCCAGTGCCTCTGATTGGCATGGAGAAACGTGGTCCAGCTGTGATTTTATCAGAGCAGGAACATCCCTTTCCTCTGGTTTCTGGAGGGACGTGCATGGCAAAAATGGCCCTGGCTACACTGGGAGGGGGAATGAGCAACCCTGCCGGCTCAGCTGACGGCCTCTGAGGACTGGATGGCTTCATGCATGCAGGCACATGAGGGCACCAGTGCTTTGCTGTGGCTGTGAGCAGTGCTGAAGAACATTCCTCGGCATCCAGCCGCAATGCTAGGGTGTGGGGCAAACCGGCGCTTGACTCAGGGAAGGGGGCAAGTTCACACAAAGCTCTAGAGACTTGAGTTTCGGTCTTAACTGCTGATGACTGTGGTCAGCTGATGGCGTCTCATGGTTGGGCTGGATTGTTGAGGCTTGTCCTCAGGGTCATAGGCTTGACGTGGAGGGAAGGAGAAGGAGAGAAAGAAGAGGCTTAGATGAGATGTGGGGACTGAGATCAGGCTGAGTACAGCAGGCATGGAGTGAGAGGAGGGTGCCCAGAGGATGGTAGAGGTGGTGTTTGTGATTGAGAAGACTTCTGTCTGCCTGCACTTGTGTGTATGTGAAGCCGCAGGAAGGAGACTCTTGCTCAGGTTCACGTGTAGAAGTCACAGGGCACATCTGCCAGGGGTCTGTGGGCGCTAAGACTGAGGAGTTCGTTTTGGCCTTGCACGAGGAGCCCGTTCATCCTCTGGAAGCACAGCGTGAGGGAGACGTTTCAGAAATGCTCTGTCCTCCCCTCAGTTAGAAGATGCTGTCCTGTTTCTCTTGCTATGCATTTTTTTTTCTTTCCCCAGCCTCTCTCTTTCATTACCCTTTCATGTTCCTCACTCTTTGTACATCTTTCTTTTCTTATTACCTCTTTCTTTCCTTTACTCTCAGTCTCCCAGAATACATCCAATTTCAGATTCTGCCAGAAGCAGTGAGCAAAACCTGCTTTTCTTGTTCTTACCACCTTGCTTCTCTATTGTATTTATCATATAAATACTGGATGTATAATTACCAGAGCATTATCTCTAAACATACAGATTAGGGAAAGCCACAGTGGC